ATTAAATAATTTCCATGTTATGGTTTTTAGGTTCCATTTTATCAAGGACAGCACATAACCTTTGACGTTGTACCAACAAAATTGACTTTTAGTGTCAATTACAAGAGTGTAGTTTTAAAGGTAAGCTTGGTCGTCAACTTGATTTGCAGACAGAGGATAACATCTGTATGTAATATCGTGGCAAGTGAAATGACTGACTTAATTTATTAAAAAAAATCATAAGCAATAGATATAAGACAGGCAGAAACTAACAAACAAGAGCTTGTTTGATCCTGTTTTTATTTTATTATTAGTTGAATTATAAAATTCTAATCTTTGATGTGTTTGTTCTAGACTCCTTTCCAAGTTCATGGCTTCTCAGTTGTGGGCAAAGTTTTAACACCTGATGGTCATGGAATCAGCGATGTTGCAATTTCTGTAGATAATGGGAAAAAGACAAAAACAGATAACTCAGGGATGTACATCCTGGAAAATATATCTACTGGAACTTACAGAATACAGGTAGTTTGTCCCATTTAATTATTCATCTCTTCCATTTCTTCATTCATTATTTCTTTATTTTGAAAATTTCAGGCAAACAAGGAAGACTTCTTCTTTGATGATCAAACTGTTCAAGTCAATCCCAATACCCCAAAACTGCCTGATATCATGCCATCAGGGTAATGATTAATACAGCATGATTTATGAACTACCTACCTTGTAGTTACTATTCCAGTAAATGAATTGAAAAATAGATCAACATGAATGTGAGAATAGAGCAGAGAATGATTATGATGATGATGGTCATGATGATCATGATGATCAAGTGATTGGATGAATTAAAAATTTAATTTCTTGTATAGTTGGAAGAATAAATGAAAAATTGGAATGGGAGTGAATAGAAGAGCGAATGTGAAATTGATGCAAAACACCATGAATGAGTATAAAAATGGTCATGAATGATTTATAGAATGGTTACATGGGAAATGAGAATGAAAAAGTGAATAATTATTGAATGATTGAATTAATTGAAATAAAAAGAAAGCTACAGGTTTGAATGACTAGAGTTGAAAATGTGAAAAAGAACTGTCAGAGCTAGTACTTACATTTACCATGTTTAATCTTTTAAAATAGGTACAATCTTTGTGGTAAACTTGTCATTGATGTCTTTCCTGCTGGGGTTGTTCAGGTATGTCTCATGCATAACAGAGGTAAAATGTTGCTTAACTTTTCTAAGACAGTAAAATTTTTTGGCATATAGATGAGCAGAAGAAAAGTAACCTTGACAACAGAAGGAGCACCCATTAGCAGCAGGTCAGCATCTGCATCTGTCAATCAAAAGGGTGTATACTGCTTTAGAGTGGCATCAGGCGTGCATACTGTACAGGTTAGTTRACTAACTTTTGTTGTTTTATTTCATTGTATGTTGTTTCATTCATCCATTTGTTTCTTCCTTTCTTTCATGCATTTATTCATTTTTATCATGATTTTAAACCTATTCCCATACTCCCCCACAATATCATAGACTTAATTTTGCACAGAAATCTCTTTTTTTGTATATCAATTTGTTTTAATCTATTMCTTTTTTTATTTCAATTCCAACTACATTTATAGTTATTTTGCATAATTGAAATACATTTTCCTTGATGTTTCTTCATTTCCCATTCAACACTTCATTTTTTCACTTTTCATTTATAGCCTGTGATAACAAMCAGTGAAGCAAAAGCTGGTCTTGTGATGAAGCCTAAAGAACAGATAATAACAGTTACCAACAAGCCAGTTAAAGACATTGTATTCACTCAGTTTAGAGCAACAGTTAGTGGGCATGTKACTTGTATTGGTGAGTCAATCMCAGAGTGTGTTAACCATGTGTTTATTTTTTTCATTTATTTATCATGGTATCMTGTTACAAAAAAATCRCTTTTTCTGGTTTATTTTCAGGGGGTAGTTGTAAAGGGACTTCWGTTTCGCTGGCTTCAGTTTCACAGCAAGATCAAACCAAGGTTGTTGTACAGGTTGGTGCCACTTTATAGCRTCATTCAATATTAATGCTMGATGCAATTATTGAAAGAAAAGTGCTTTGATTGACAGTGCTACTAGCTGTTCAAATGCTTCATTATTCATTTAATGTTGCTTTTATGGGTTTACCAAAAAACTTTATTCATTATATTTTCTAGGTTACTGATGGAAATGATGGTGCTACTTTTTCCTTTAAAAATGTCTTGCCAGGAAAGTATAAAGGTATGCAAGCTATCGTGATATAACTGGGTCATTGGTATGATCTTGTGTTGAGTGCCACCTTTGATTTGTTCACTTTGACCACCCCTTCCTATCTATACAGTTATGATCAATGCAGAAATCACAACATTAAGCAATGTATTTTATCATTAGCCACTGTGATCCAAGAGATGTGGTGCTGGAGYAATAAGACTATTGAATTTGTGATTGGTGACAAGGATGTTACTACACTTAAATTCACACAGTCAGGATTCATCCTTAAATGCAGTCTGTCRCATCCTATAACACTGGTAAGTCTTTCTCCCTTTTGTTTACAGCTTTTAATTAATGAAAAAGAATGTATACAAATGTAGCCAAGGCTGCTATGATGTTGAAAATGTATATAGTGAATCCAAGCTTTCGCTGTACTACAGCATCATCAGGGAAATTAATTTTTAATTAATATTACATATTAATATATTACACATATTTCAATGCTTTAGTTGAAATGACTTATACAATTTTACAGAATTTTTCCTTGGAAAACAAGAAAGAAGTTGTTGGGTCATTTGACCTGTTTAAAGGGATCAACAGATTTTGTCTTTCTGAACCAGGTACAATATTAATAAATGCTCAATAGTTAACATTATTAAAAAGAGTACAAAGATAACAATATTTTACTAAAATTGTGTTTCAGGTGTCTATAGTCTTGTGCCTAAGTCKTGCCATCGTTTTGAACAAGATGTCTACAGCTACAACACGTAAGAATAAATCATGTCTTCTTTTGTATGTATGTGTAGTTGTGGTTTAGATGGATGGATTGTCATGTTTATCATCAGTGAAATAAAGTGCTTAGGGATGTTAGGAGAATAATATCCCATTATCCTTGGTTGCTTTGTTTCGCCGATAAAAAATCAATATAACAATCCATCCTTTATTGCTTAAATGAACCATGCAGTGATAAGCAACAGTGACATGAAAGAAGTGTTAGTAGAAATGTTTGAAACAAGCTTTTGTATTTTTCACACATCTCAAGTGTAAATTGYCTCTTCCCAAGTGCTCTGTACAACTAATAATACAGAGTCATTCCTTTTATGAAATGCAGCTCAAGTTAGTGTGTTTTCTTGAAGTAGGCTCATTGACCATACTTGAGTGCATTATGTGTTATGATAAGTTAGTAGATCAAATTATTTTGTAATATCCCCCAATTTTTTTATTCTTTCTAGTGGTTCCCCAACTGTTCTGACACTTACTGCCACCCAGCACTTGATGTCTGGAGTCATCACTACTAARGAACCAGCMCARGACTTGAAGGTCAAAATAAGGTAAAACATGAAGAAGATAAATGACTCATGGTTATAAAATAAAGAAATAAAATTCAAGCTTATGATATTGTATTTTAATTGGTATTTTCAGGTCTTTGAAGACTAATGAAGTTGTTATAATTGGACCTTTGTCATCAAGTGATGAAACTACACCAAGCTATAACTTCTCTCACTGGGGAAGGTATTTCTTTCTTTAATTTACTGATTTTTTATGATTTTTAAACTATACCTGTAGATACGAGTTCTATTAACTAAACTCCTATTAATTTATTTCGCTATTCAATGATGACTATTGTTGGTTATTATAAAGAGTTTTCATTGTGTTATCAATTCACAGCAAAGGGGAAGAATTTGAAGTAACACCTTTATCATCTATCATTCTGTTTTACCCACCAAGCAAGACTGTCACCATTACAGGTAAAAGACTTGACAGTAGTATGATATCACCAGCAAATGCTTATTATTATCCAGCAGCATTACCTCGTAGATATAATACCARATAAAGCTATGGACATCAATAACATTGAGAGAATGCTCTCTTTCAGATGATTGCCCCGGGGCTTTAGTACAACTTGAAGGAAGGCAAGGAGTCTTCTTGGARGGCAAGGTAACCCCACCTTTTGCAGGTGTGGAGATAACAATAACARCTGAAAAGATTGGGAATGAGTTACCTATGCAGCCTATCAATATCCTTACAGATGGCAATGGGACATACAGGTAGGAAAGGAGTTTTGTAGTACTTGTATCTAGTAGTGTACAATGCAATGATCAATGGTGTAAAATAAATAGCTCAGTGATATTCAAAGTTATGATTTTTTACCCCCACAGGGTTGGYCCACTTCATGGTGGCATAGAATACAATATGGTAAATATCATTAGCAATATCATCATTTTAATCATGATGACATGAAGACTACTCCTAAATAATCTTTTTTTTTATGAATTGCCTTCATTATTTGGACATCTCACTCGGGGAATTAGAAGCGACATCACCCAGAGGAGATGTCTGATATTCAGGCTATTCATTATTATGCAAAGAAAAAAGTTGGTTATATCACTTGATATATCAGCCTGGAAAGAAAACAGTCTCAGTTACTCACCACAACCTGAAATACTCATCTTTTTATGTTGAATAATTTTTTACTTACACAGCTAATGATTGTTTTATTGTGTTACCGCAAACACAGGAAGCCCATAAGAGTGGTTTTATTATCAATGCAGTGWCTGGTAAAAAAGGTCACTTTCAAGCTTTTAAACTGGGAGAGATTCAAATCATAGTCACAGATGGGCATGACAACCCATTGCCTGATGTACTGTTATCACTCAGTGCTGGACAGTTTCGTAGTAACAACCTCACGCAAGATGATGGTGTGATTATATTTCAAAGTCTGGTGAGTCCAGTCATATTAGATTTATAAATCAATTTTCTTTAGTTGATGGCCGAGTTTTGAAATTATCTTGAACATTTTTGATTGTGTTCAATTATGATCTGAATATACACAGCCTGGTTTTTGATTGATGTATAAAAACGTAAAAATACGGGTTGTTTTTTGTTAATTATAAATGCATAAAATCTTGAATTCCCACGACCASTAAGTGGTCAGTTATGACAGATGTTTAGCCTTATTATTGTCATAAAAATTTGTGATGTATTATTTTTGAAATGTTCCTTCTTGCCCCTATTTCCCCATGATATTGCCAGTTAACGTAGGTAACATTTACATAATTTGTTGATAAATGATTTTAAGTTGCTTTGTTTGAACCTTTTTCAGGGTCCTGGAGARTACTTTTTCAGGCCAATGTTAAAAGAATATACCTTCGAGCCTGCAACACAAGTAAGATTTCCGAACATTCACTTTTCATGTATATTGGTAGAGTAGACTGTGCAACAGACTGGGTCATAGACAACACACCTTTGTTAGGAAACATTGCACACAGACACAAGTACAGTAATGTTAGCAATTATTAATGATTCTCTGATGGTTTTCTTGTAGATGATAAAAGTGGAAGAAGGAGCTTCTGTGCAAGTAAAAGTCAAAGGAAAAAGGGTTGCTTTCAGGTACTAAATAGTTTTATTATTKTCTTGTTGCYTTATCATTTATTATTAATTTATACAGGGCCATCTTTCTGTTGCTGGTACCACTTAATAAACTCACACCACTGTCTATTRGTAAACWAATTGTTTATCAAAGGATAACAACAAGAGCATCTCAATGTGAGCCTTAGGTAATTKTATCCTCAGATTTATATTTCTAATAAAATTGTTATTTTATTTTCAGCTGTTATGGTACATTGGCATCTCTGAGTGGTTTGCCAGAAAAGGACATTGCATTGGAGGTAGGTACATGTACATGTAGACTGCATAMAAGAATATTTCTTTCAAATTGAAGCATTGGTTTATGGGCTTGAAACAATACTTTCCGTTAATATGGTAAGAATCTGGTTATCAGAGCACATTAAAATAATTTGTTTATTGTTGTTTACTGTAAGGCTGTTGGTCTTAAAAGTTGTGAAGGAATGCAAGAAGAAACAAGGTCTGATAAAGATGGTACATTTAGACTGAGAGGCTTGCAGGTTAGTTATGCACAATAATTGTAGCAAGTATAAAAAAGCAAATTAAAAATAACAGAGGGATTTATTAAGATGATATCTTGTTTCTAGCCTGGTTGTCCGTATCGTGTTCGTGTAAAGACTGGAGAAAGTAATCCTGCTATAGAAAGGTCATCACCAAGTCACACTGATATACAGGTATTTGCATAAAGATGATGATAACAGTACTGTTTCTTGATATTGTTAACTACTAGGTAGCTGATATAGTATAATAGTAATATGATTACGGTATATCTGTTAATAGGTTACCAATGGTGATATAACAAATGTCAACATTATAGCATTTCGTAAACTTAATCAGTTTGATATTACTGGTACTGTGAACACAGATCAACAACATTTAAATACACTTAAGGTAAGAATTTCAGACTTCACTTTTTAGTTTCATGCATTTCAAAATGTGGTGCAATCGCACACTTTAAAAATAATGTTAGTCTCTTGAAAACTCTCGCCAGTTTACCATTTTATAATAAGTCCTGAATTCATTTCGTTATGGATTTGATTTGAGGAATATATATTAATATGTTCAACTATGTTGCTTTGTGTAGGTTCTGCTCTTCAAAGAAAGTAATCTAGACTCAGCTGTTTTAACAACAACTGTTGGAATTGCAAGTTATTTCCAATTTCCTCCAGTTCCTAATGATGGCCAAGTGAGTAATGCTAAGTGGTTTTTAAGTCACATAATTTGATTTTTAAACACACACAAAAGGTAATATTAAAACTTTATGTTCAAGCTTAATGCATTTTTTCCTCCACAGGTCTACATTATTCGTCTAGNACAGTATTTGACGGTATTTGAATGAGGGGCTTCCTGTGGGAGAACTGCTGCATACTGGGTAAACAAGGCTGAGCACGTGACTCGATTACAAAATCAAACCAAGATGGCTGCCACAATCAAGGATACGGAACAAGATCGAACGCGAAGATCTCTTCCAAAGCCCACGCTTGTTAACAAACTAGAAGGCTGTAGCAATGTAGTGAATATGGCAGTCCCCATTCCTCATGAGGACGCAATAATTAGCGTCTCTGACGACAAGTAAGTTATCAGGTTTTTCTCTGCAAGTATCTTGGAAAATTATTGTATCATCTCCGAGTCGATAATTTGTTTACAATTTTTGATCAGTGTATTCTTTACGTTTACGGCTATTGACGGTATTTGTTTTGTGTGTTTAGTAGCGGAAGGGTCCGTATTCAGAGCCCCCCAATGTCCCCCTCCGTAAGACTTTGGATTAAGTCATATGATGGCCGGTGAGAATCAAAATTGACATTTGTTTTTCTTGAAGTTTGCATTTGAAATTATTACTCGGGGTTCCTGTGGAACCGCGATTTTACGTTTCGGCGTTATTATTAGTCGGACTAGACTTTAAAATTACCTTTTAGCCAATCTATCTGTGTATCATGTCGCGTTTGGACCACCGGAAGTTAAGAATTTAATGATTAAACTATTGGGTTGGCTGTGTTATTACATGACCGGAAGCTCAAACGTATTGATGTACGATTATCGTTAGTAAATATTAAATGCTACTTGCGCTTTTATATGACAAAAAAACTATTTGTTTACAAATGTGGTATCTGTGATCTCATCGGAATGCATCAGTCTAGGAATCATAAGTACGCGCATGTGCAGATCGCTTGGTGCTTCGAGTAGTATGCTTACGAAACTAAATCGTTGCTAGCCCCTCTGAGTTATGCTAATGCACCTATTAATGTCTTGCCCCAACAGCGGGAGCCCGGGCGCACACAGGCTATTGACATACGAACCTAGCGCCTGACAGGGGCTGTTATACTTTTATTGACACATCAATCCCCCAGGGTAGGGCTTATTGACAATTTGATCAGAAACTAAACGTTTTATAATGTTATTTCATTTACTTACAACTGCAGGGAAGTTTATTAAACATGCATTAATCTACAACTCACAATATGTATTTATTGAATGCTTGAAGAGTTAACTTTGTGTTCAAGCTCAATGCATTTTTTCCTCCACAGGTCTACATTATTCGTCATGTTTATCACGCAAGAACTATGACTTGACTTGCCAGAATCAAGTACATGTATAACAGCTACAGGGGTCAGAAGTCATGTAGCACTGAAGTTTGATCCTCAAGTAAGCAGAGCCAGAGCTATTAATCATTTAATGTTGTGTTTATATTGTAATTTTTAGTCTTAATTTAATTTAATTTTTTCAGATTCGTAAATTTGACCCAGAATTCCCAAGGTTCTTTGCTAGCTCTTCCTGTTTTAGTAGTATTGGTAATAATGGCCATGAACTATGATAAGGTAGGGCAAAAAGTATTCTATTCTTTCAAGAATGAGTGATATGTATAATTTCATAGTAAACATACTTTTACTGATTACTGTTTGACTTAGACGAGAAATAATGTCTAGTTTATAACTGATTGAATAAGATAGCAATAATACAATTAAATTAGAGAGAGGTTTTCTTTCACAGTTTGACGCAAACTCCTTCTACTACTTGCTAAAGCATGATCAATCCTAACTCTGACCTAATCTAACAATAGTAAAAACAAAGAGAAAAAACTGATGGTTAGGCTTGGAAAATCAGTCTAGTCTGACCCGGACCTTGTGGATGAATGATTTCATTTTGAAAGGTTTATTATTAGCTGAAAAAAATGTGTTTCTCCATTAGTGTACAGAAAATTTTATAAACTGACAAATATTTTAACATTCTCTGCATTTCAGGTACTATCTTTAACCCAAAAAAGTACTCAGATGTTACAAGGAGTTCCCCTTTATCAACTTCAAAACCCATATGATGACTCAAACAGCAAAACCAAGAAAAAAAACAGTTGCAAGGCACAGATGACATATTTATTGAAACTAGGCAATTATATCTTATTTTACATTAAAATCAATATTAATCCCATGCTAATATTAATGAATGCACTACAACTAACAATTACCTTTTTAAGCACTAGTTAGACTCTATTAAAACATTGAATTACAACCTCGTTCCCAGGGCCATCACGGACTCCACAAAATGGCCGGTCGTCCAGCGATGACCCTGGCAAACATTGAACTAAGGCGCTTTGTGATTGGCTGATAAAGACGTCATTCTTATACCGCTTGCCATTGGATGTTTATTTTTAAGATATGTTCGGCTATCAATCGGGGTTTGTTCGACCAGATTCGACCGTTATTTTGAATGCGTCCAATTTTCCGAAGAGTTTGATGTCCGTTTTATCGATCAAAAGGCAATAATACTGCTTCAAATTCACGTCAGTTGTCTTTTCGTGTGTTCTTTATCTCATGCATGCTTTTGAGAAGCCAGCCGAAGGTGTAAGTAATTAAACCCGGCCGATATATTTACTGTATTTTAGCGAAAGCGTTGA